TTCACTTCCCAGGCCCCTTCCTTCTTTCTTTTACAAGGTCCAATGCCACTGCAACACATTCTACCGCTTCTGACACCAATTGCTAAAGGGGCAAGGAGGCAGCACCTTCTGACCTCTTCTAACTCTACAAGAGGAAGACAGAATCACCGTCAGCAGCCTAAGGCCTGTTCTTAAGAGGCCAGACATGCTGCCACCCTCCAGCCCTCTTACTAACCTTGACACCACCTGTTCCTCCCACAGCACCCACCATCTCTGCTGGATTCAATAATTCACTGCAGTGGCCACACAGACTCACAGATTATGGGGTTTATTAGGGAAACAACAGGCTACAATTCAAGTTTAGGAACATGCTCAGTTTCTCAGCTGGCAGTCTCTCTCAGTAACTCGTCTCTCAGCACTGCGTGTTTTTTGTGTCTTTCTCTCAGAAACACAACTTTCTCAGCTGGCAGTCAGAGAGACTCCTTCTGCCTCTGGAAAAAAAAACTAAACTCACTGCTGTGGAGTTGAATCTGACTCATAGCAACCTCTCCTGGGTTTCCAAGGTGGTATCTGTACCAAAGTAGATTGCCCAGTCTTCCTTAAGCCTGACAGAGTAGCAAAACTAACCAATCCCAATGTCAGAATTCTATACACCTGAGAGAGAGCGAACTTTCCAGAAGAGTGCTTTGTGCTGCTCCAACAGAAATACACCAGGTGGATTACTTTAACAATCAGGAGCTACTCAGTTGCTCACGGCAAATTCCACCATGGAGTTTACAAAGACTGTGACTAGAAAAGCCACACCATATAATTTACTACACCACAGGTGCACCTGACCCAAGCCATGATATTTTCAATAGCTTGATAATGCATGTTTAACCTGGACAGTGATGAATAAGGAAGAATGAATAAGAATTGATGCATTTGAATTTTGGTGTTGGTGAATAATCCTGGAAATGCCATGGACTGCCAGAAAAATGAACAAATCTGTTTTGGAAGAAATGCATCCAGAATGCTCCTTAGAAGTGAGAATGGCCAGACTTCATCTTTCGTACTTTGGTCATGTTTCAGGAGGCACCAGTTCCTGGAGAAGGATATCATGCTTGGTAGAGGGTCAGTGAAAAAGAGGAAGACGGTCAGTAAGATGGCTTGACACAGTGGCTGCAATGATGGGCTCAAGTATAGCAGTGATGTGAGCACAGGACCAGGCAGTATTTAATTCTTTTGCATATAAGGTTGCTATGAGCTGAAAGTGACTGGACAGCACCTAACAACAATAACCTGCCCTGGGATGTGCATTCTTGATTATGATTGTACAGTGTGCACCTCCAGAGAAGAGTCCTCACGCATGAACCTGGCATCTCGGAAACACAAGTGCTGTCATCATATCAGTCGTTAGCACTTAGCTACCTAGGAGCCAGAAGAAAGGGCATAAAATCGTCATAACATCTTTGGATTATATGTGTTTCAGCTTCCTTCAAATAAAACTTGTATTTTCTCAGTAGCCAAATTTAATTTTAGACTGTTGATGCCACTGAAGATGAAATTCAGCTGATGCTGTGAAATGAGATCGTTGGAGGGCACATAGTGTTTTGCCATTTGTCATGACTCTTCTAGATAAGCCCATCTTGATAGCAGGTCATCTGATCTTTGTGCCATGACAGACTTTGTGTGGTGTTGAAGGCTGTCTCCTCTCCATTGAAGGCCACCCTGAGAGCCCATTGGAAAGAGGGCACAGAGATACAGGGACTTCACAGCAGTTTTTTCCCTCTCCTGATGTTTTTGCATGCGGAAGAGGCAGCTGGCAAACATTAGGCAACATTGCCAGCCCAGAAACAACAAAACCCTGGTGTAAAGCTATGTACCTGACAGTGTCTATTATTCTTCTGCCCAGAATTGATCCTTAAATCTACAATTAGAGTCTAGTTGAATTTTAAAGCCATGTATCTAGTAAGTAGAACTGAATCGTCTGGTATTGTTCGTATTTCAAGACTAGACAGTGAAGACGAATTAGAGACATCAGCTCTTTGAAGTAGGATTTTAAAAATACTTTATGGCTATTCTGCAGCTTTGAGGCGAGTACATCTCTGTGTTTTGTCCAACTGTTTTTTTGTTTGTGTTATTTTGGTCTAAGAAAAGAAATGTGCCTTGGCCTCTGACAGGTGGGATTTGTCAAACAGTTGCAGTGTTTGGCTTTTCTTTTCAAAGAGATTCAAACACAAATATATTCAGAAAATCTCAATTTTATAACAGTCATTCCCACATACCTACTATCAGTCTTTGTGGTTGACCAATTTACCCATTAATGAGTGATAATTAACAGAACAGTAGCTGACTCAGGAAGGGTGTCATTACCATGACTGTCAGAGTTAATTTTTCCAAGGTATTGTCTTAGTCAAGGAGAAAAAGGAGTGATTGACAAAGAATAAGAATCTATCATTACTGGCTTAAAGAAAGAAGCTGTCAGCTTAATTACTTGGTCCATTTTTCCTGAGAACATTTTTATCCCAAGAGGGGAAATGACATTATGGAAAATGACTGTATATGAAATGAGAAAGATCATTGTGGAAAACAAGTTTGCATACATATCAGGGGACTCTCTTTAGAGCATTGGCACCCTGGTGGCACTGTGGTTAAGCTCTTGGCTACTAACCAGAGGTTAGCAGTTCAAATTAACCATTGTTCCTCTGGAGAAAGATGTGGCAGCCTGCTTCTGTAAAGATTACAGCTTTGGAAATCCTCTGGGGCAGTTTTACTCTGTCCTATAGGGTCTTTATTAGTTGTAATTGCCTTGATGGTAGTGGGTTTGGTTTTAGTTTTCTTTTGAGCATTATATCCAGTCTTGGTGGAGCTAGGATTCCAAGCAAGTATTGTTGTTCTATGGCGTCGAGTCAGACCCGACTCATAGCGACCCCTCCTTGGGTTTCCAAGGCAGTATCACCATGGAAGTAGATTGCCCAACCTTCCTTCTGAGGAGTGGCTGGTGGGTTTGAACTGCCAGCCTTCTGGTTAGCAGTGAAATGCCTTAGACACTACGCTACCAGAGCTCCCAAGTGAGTATCGGTGACTAAAAAAAAAAAAAAAAAAAAATTACCATCAGTTGGTTACATCAAAGGAGGTCTTATATCCAAGGGTATGCTCAGTGGAGTTATCTGTTTTCCCTTTATCCACTAGAAACTGAGGCAGCTATAAAGGCTTTGTCCTATACTACAGGTAAATCTTGCTGTCTGGTGGACTCAGTCATGCCAGAGTCCAAGATAACTGCCCATACCTTTTAGAAAAGAAATCATTTGTACGCCCAGAGGCCTGAGTCAGTGGCATCTGTTGTGCTGTTGTAGTCTTGGTCTATTCTATCAGAAATTTGAGAGATGACTTAGGTGTTTGTTTTGGTTACTTAGTGCCACTCTGACAAGAATATACCACAAATGGGATGGCTTGAACAAACGGGAGTTTATTCTCTTACAGTTTGGAGGCTTTAAGTCTGAGTTTAAAGTGCCAGGCTCTAGGGACTGGGTTAAAGCCCCTCAACCTTGGGCTTCAGCTCTGCCTCCTGCTCCCAGCCCACTGGAGCTAGAGCTTTTCTTCAGTCAGCTGCTGGCTGCTGAGGCTGACAAGCAAAAAGGCACAGTCCCAATGTTACCAGACCACATGGCCATTAATTCAAGCCCATTGAAAGTCCCAAGGTCAGCAGAGCATGGCAGGCTGCTGAACAACGACACAGCTACATGCAGGGTTCAAGTGTGCCATACATAAGCTAGAGGCCATTCATTCCCAAAGCTGTTTCCTATATACGGAAAGCAGACCACATACCCAAAGCAGCTACCCAGCTGCTCCAATAGATTCCACCATGGAGTTATACCAGTCTCACCATGGGGAATAACTACATTCAGCTTCCCAGCCACTCAACCAGGCCCATCCTGGTGGCACAGTGGTTAAAGTGCTCAGCTCCTAACTGACACACAAACTTAACCACCACAGGGTTATTTTTCATTTTGGACTAAAGATGGTTTCTTTTGAGGATACTGCATTCTCCTAAAAGGAGACAGACTTATCTTTTTGCTTTTGCTGGGGAATTTTGTTTGTTTTTACGTCTCTCAAAAAGTGACTGGCTTAGCTGGAAAATAGGTCATACCTTGAAAACTGATTACTAAAAAGACTCTCAGACTGATTCATTCTCACTGCTAAATGTTAAGGAAATCCATTCAAATACAGGTGACAGCCAAAGTGATTTCTTCACGCCCTGATTAAAAGTTGTGTATAGCCAAGTTTAAATTTACCAAAGATGCTAGAGTACCCAAAAAGAATACATGTGCTTCAACTTGTCACTATTTGCAGATAGGCTTTTACAGTTTCTAATAGTGTGAAATCCAGAAATACATAACCTTCACATCTAAATACCCTGACTCAGTGTGAAATGTTGTGAATTAATACCTGAATTCAACTGCTTTTAATTTAGAACAATAAGTATGTGTGTGATTCTGCTTTTAGAATTCTTCATTGCAGCTCATGCCTGGAAAAGGTTGTATTGTTAAGTATTTCTGTTATCACTTTAGATTGTGAATGCTTATAGATCACAAGGAGCCCTGGTAGCACAGTGGTCAAAGTGCTCAGCTACCAACTGAAAGGTCAGTGGTTCGAACCCACCAGCTTCTCTGTGGGAGAAAGATGTAGCAGTCTGTTTCCGTGAAAAATCACAGGTTGGAAATCCTTTGGGACAATTTCACTCTCTCCTGTAGGGTCGCTATGAATCAGAGTCAATTTGATGCAACAGGTTTTTAATAGCTCACAGGTGACAAGACAAGAAAACTATGTTCTGGCTTCTAAGGAGGGTATGGTCAGTGTTTTGCTGACTTTTCTGTGTGTAGTAAAATTTTAATAATTTCTAAGATTGCTTACCATCTGGGTAGTACATAAATATTGCATCGCTGTTAGATTTTAATTTATGAAGATGAATTTGATTCATTGGACTGCATGGCTATATAACTTTCTGTTTTCTTTTCTCCCCTTTACTTCTTCCCCAGCATCAAAGCTAAGACTTAGCACATTTTCATCATCAGCTACAGGCTCGGAAGAGGCTGGTATAAATGTGACACTGACCCCAGGCGTCTCTCTCAAGACTTCTGGTATTACCAGCACAAAGGAAGAGAGGCAGTTGGTATGAAATGGAATCTGCCATTGGCTTTTTAAAAGTTCTTATTCTTCTAGAACCTATCATTGTAAAAGTATGCATGGACATTTTATGTATTTATAAATCATGCACTCTAAGATGAGTTCATCAACATTGTGAAAGTCCTCCTGTTTATAAATGTCAAACTTTTTATTAAAAATGTCTGACTTTTTTTCAATGTTGATGTATTAATGGCAGATAATGAATTTAACAATTTGTATTTTTCAACAGTGTGCCTTTTTAAGTATGATACTTTTATGCTCCCCTATTCCTATTCCACTCCAGCAAAACAGATCTTTTATTTCCTTATTTCTACCAGCAATGGATGCCATATTTTTCTGTCTATATCCCTTCCTATACACATTCACCTTATTTTTTGAAAAAAATTTTATGGTGAGAATAAAATCATAGGCCTTGGAGGTCTCTGAGGTACCCACAGTCTTATGGGAAGAGGTAGCCTAACCAAAGGATCTGGCCTTATTTTAAAGCTCAATGACCTGAGATTCCATAGCTTTGTCCAGACATCCACCTGATTTGTAGATTCTTTACAAGGTCTCCCAAGTTGCTGAGCTAAAGTCCACATTTGGTTTCTGGAGGGAACCCTGAGGCTTGAGTCTTAAAGGCTTGAGGAATTGATTTGCATATAGCCCTTCAGGAAATACTTGTTTATTAGAGTTCTGCTTGTCTTTGAAATTTTTATATTAATTTTTCCCTTTTGGTTAGTGTAGGACCTCTGCTGGCACAGTGGTTAAAGTGCTTGGCTGTTAACTGAAAGGTTGGCAATTTGAACCTACCATCTGCTTCGAAGGAGAAAGATGTGTCAATCTGCTTTATAACTGCTTAAACAGTTATAGCCTTGGAAATCCTATGGGGCAGTTCTACCCTGTCCTGTGGGGTCACTATGAGTCAGAATCGACTCAGTAGCAGTAGGTTAGGTTTTTGGTTAGAGTAGTTTATCCATTCTGTATCCCTCCTTGTTCCTCTATACTACTTAGTACCCACTATCAATTACGTATTTCCAGGCATAAATAATGGAAGAGGGCTTCCTTTGGAGACCATGATTTAACAGTCTACCTCAGTAGGATTTACTCATTTAGTGCCAGGTCCTGTGCTTGGTACTGGGGATAGTGGTGAATAAGACAGTGGATCCTGCTTTACTGTAATCTGTAAGGAGCTCTGGTGGCATAGTGTCTAAGGCATTTGACTGCTAATCAGAAAGTTGCTGGTTCAAACCCACCAGCCACTCTGCGGAAGGAAGACAGGGCAATCTACTTCCGTAAGGATTTACTGCCTCAGAAACCCAAAGAGGATTGCTATGAGTTGGAAAGCTGGTGAATATAGGTAATTGAACAGAGGAGAGCCAGCTGTGGGAGCATGTATCTGTGGGCAGAGAAGTGGGACAAGACTTCTTCCCATGGCTTGAGGCTAAGGTAAGCAGCTCACCCAGATGGGCCACATTCCTACAGGTTTTTTAACAACTAGGATGAACTGAGGGAAGAGGCCAAGCTACTTCTCTCCTCTGAGCCTTACCTGGAGAATGGAGATCAGAGAAATGCTACTCACAAAGAGCTATAACAACAACAAAAAAAACCCATAGTGACTCTAGAGGACAGACTAGAACTGTCACATAGGGTTACAAAGAGCTGTGGTGAGGATTAATTTAAGATAGCGAACATTAGGGGACCAAGCATAGTGCTCAGTGAGCCTTCACCTATTTTTGTCTTTAAATGTAGCCCAACCTCTTTCCATTTTGATTATCTGTACAAATTTGTGATTTGTGAGGCTTAAAAAAAAAAAAACAAATTATAAAGTGGAAAAAGTCAGTGTATGATTATTCATTTTATGTATATGTAAATCTTCCTATTTTTAATTCAATTATTTTATAACTGTGCCTTAAATTGAGGCATCTAGGTCAGAAGCAACGCCTGAGTTTCTTGCTCCAGTGTGATTGATTTTTCCAGAAATGCACTAGAGTTTAATAGCAATAAAGGACATTTGGGAGGAGACAAAGGATTATTCACTTTTAAAATGTATTCTTCATAAGTTTCTCATGCATTTTCTTATTAAGAGATAACATCAAAGATATAAAGTAATAAAAGCCTTTCAGGAATGCATTCCTGCATAAGCAACTTTAAATTGTGAAATAATGTATAGTGTGCTGTTCAAACCCACCAACTGCTCCACAGGAGGAAGGTGAGGCAGTCTATGCCTGTAAAGATTTTTTTTTTGTTGTTGTTGTTAGATGCCATCAAGGCTCCTCTGATTCATGATGACCATATGTACAACAGAACAAAACTGCCCAGTCCTGCACTAGACTCACCATCCCCACTATACCTGAGCCCATAATTTCAGCCACTGTGTCAATCCATTTCATTGCGGGCCTCCCCTTTTGTGCTGACTCTTCACTTTACTAAACATGATCTCCTTCAGGGAATGGTCCCTTCTGACAACATGACCAAAGTAAGTGAGATGAAGTCTGGCCTTTCTTGCTTCCGAGGAGCATTCTGGCTGCACTTCTTCCAGAACAGATTTATTAGTTCTTCTTCTGTATATCGTACTTTAAGTATTTTTAGCCAACACCACAACTCAAAAACATCAACTCTTCTTTGGTCTTCATTATACTTTGTCCAGCTTTCACATGCACATGAGGCGGCTGAAAATACCATGGCATGGGACAGACGCATGTTAGTCTTCCAACAGATATCTTTGCTCTTAACACTAAAGGGGTCTTTTGCAGCAGATTTGCCCAGTGCAATACGTTGTCTGATTTCTTGACTGCCGCTTCTGTGGGTGTTCATTGTGGAACCAAGTAATACGAAAACTTTGACAACTTCAGTCTTTCCTCCATTTATCAGGATATTGCTTAATTGGTCCATTTGTGAGGATTTTCATTTTCTTTATGTTGAGGTGTAATCCATACTGCTGACTATAGTCTTTAATCTTCATTGGTAAGTACTTCAAGTCATCTTCACTTTCAGCAACCAAGGTTGTGTTGTCTGCATATTGCTGGTTGTTAATGAGTCTTCTAATCCTGATGCTGAGTTGTTCTTCATGTAGTCCTGCTTCTCAGATTATTTGCTCAGCATACAGATTGAATTAACTATGGTGAAAGGATACAGCCCTGATACACTCCTTTCCTGTTGGCAAACCATGCACTATCCCTTTGTTCTGTTTGAATAACAGCCTCCTGGTCTGTGCACAGATTCCTTATGAGCACAATTAAGTGTTCCAGAATTCCCATTCTTCTCAATGTTACCCATAATTTGTTATGATCCACAGAATCTAATGCTTTTTGCATAGTCAATAAAACACAAGTAAACACCTTTCTGGTTTCTTTGCTTTGAGCCAAGTTCCATCTGACATCAGCAATGATATCCCTTGTTCCACGTCCTCTTCTGAATCCACCTAGCATTTCTGGAAGTTCCCTGTTAATATACTGCAACTGTTTTTAAATTACCTTCAGCATGATTTTACTTGCATGTGATATTAATGATACTGTTTTGATAATTTCTGCATTCTGTGAGATCACTTTTCTTTGGAATGGCTATAAATATGGATCTCTTCCAGTCAGTTGGCCAGGTAGCTGTCTTCCAGATTTCTTGGCATAGGCGAGTGAGTGCCTCCAGAGCAGCATGCGTTTGTTCAAACATCTCAGTGGGTGTTCTGTCAATTCCTGGAGTCTTGTTCTTTGCCAGTTCCTTCAGTGCAGTTTCAGCTTCTTCCTTCAGTACTATATCATATGCAACCTCCTAAAACAGATGAACATCAACCAATTCTTTTTCCTACAGTGACTGGGTGTTCCTTCCATCTTCTTTTGATG